ACAGATTATGTATTATGTCACAAATTTAAAAACACTTGAATCATCTGATAGATCCTTATCACAATGGTTGATGAAACCAGGAAATAATTAACAAGTGAAGCTCTAAGAATTATACAGATGCACAGAGATGGAACAACACAGAGCAGTTGGTCCCCAAGGAATTGAGAGGAGAATTAATACTTTTCTCAAATTGGCAGTTAGAGAGTTCATTAGTTAGTTTTTCATTGCTATAATAAAACATCATGGCCTAAGCAACTTATAAAAGAGTATACAGTCCACGGTGGCAAAGAGAAGCCATGGTGGCAGGAATAGCTGAAAGCTCACATCTCAAACCCAAAGTAGGAGGCAGAGAGCAGCCTGGGAATACCATGAATCTTTTGAAATTTCAGAGCCTGTCCCCAATGACACACCTCCTAATCCTTCCTAAACAGTTCTACCAAATGGTGACCAAATATTCAAACATACAAGCCCATGGGGGACATTTTTATTCAAACCACCACGAGGGGTTACTGGTTGCTTCCCTGTGCTCCAGCGGATGGCCCCACACCAGCACACGTGGGCAGCACCGACTGGACTTAGGAAGTTACAAAAAAAAAAAAAGGACATGCAGTTAGGAAGAGAAGTTATTGGGAGAATGGGGCCGTTGAATACATTTTCATGGTACACATGTATGAAATTCTCAACAAGTAAAAAAAATACAGTAGCAATAAATACAACACACTGCAACTGTGAGATGCAGCAAACACCCAAAGGTTACGTTATGGAGTGCCCACATAAAAAAAAAAATAGAAACTTTACAAATACCCTGTTGAGGTACCTCAAGGTACCTCAATTCTTACTTGAAAAGTAAGAATTAAACAAATCCCAAAACAACAAAGATCAGAAGTAAAACAATATGAAAGATTAGTGAAGCCAAGAGTTAGTTGTTTGCAGAAATAAAGATGGAAAGGTAACTGATCCAACAGAAAGTCAAAGAATAATGGGGGGTGATTTTTTTTAACTTTATGTTGACAAGTTTGAAAACCCCTGAGGACATAAAACACATGAATAGAAAAAGTGATGGTCAGAATTCCTACCATGCAGCAGTGTTCTCTGTATTATGTAAACAGTAGTTCCCGCAGTTGGCGAAGCAGGGCATACAAAGATCAGAGTGTATGACTGGTGAGAGACCTTGGGAGAGAGTTTTTGCCCCATGTCCTGATGCTCTGAAATGGCTGTCCACACAAAGCTGGGACACTATGTCTGTCCCCTGTCTAGAGTACAAGAAGCCTATGCTAGGTTCCTTGTCATCTTCTCCCAGGAGTCTTTACTCCTCAGGCAAAGGTTAGGGTGCTCCTCTGAGGTCGTGGGTGTCCGCACAGAGAGGCTGTCCTCATCTCCATTCTCTAATCTGTGAGACTTGCACAGGTGCTGTTGAGGGATTGTGTGTTGCACTTTTTTTTTTTTTTCAGATCATTCATTATCATTTTCCTTTTATCTGTCTTTACTGGCCTGCTCCAGAGTTCTTTTTTGTCCATTCTTTTGCGATTTCTTTTAAATATCAGAAATTATGCTTTCGTGGTAGAATTAAATGTTCTGTCATTATAGCTTTGCTTAAGTCGTGCTACTTCCCAGCTTGCTTGAAGAGACCTGGCTCAGTGGAAAGGATGCTGCTGGCTCCTAGCAGGCTCATATATTGCCTCCTTCACTGCTCAGACTGGAGAGGGTGGGGAGTCCTGGGAGGTAGGTATTATTAGCCCCATTTTATGGGGAACTGAGAAGGTCCAGAAGAGAAGCCCGTGTGTGTTGCACAAAGGGGAGAATAGACTGTAGGACTACACTGCCTCAGTTTGAGTCCTTGTTCTGCTCCCTCACAGCTGTGTGACATGAGGCAAATTACCTAGCCTTTCTGTGCTTTGTTGTCCTCTTCTCAGTGTCTTACTATAATTCCTGCCTCACAAGGTTGTTGTGAGTTTTAACAGTGACATGTGGAGAAGTTAAAAGGGCCCTGGCATAGAACCATAACTCAATAGATGCTAGCTGGGTAAAGAACAGATAGGCCAGCCGAGGCCCTCCCCACAGTGTGACCAACCTGTAGGAGCTGTGAACAGTGAGTGCCTGGTTCATACTGAGTCTGAGGTGAGATGAGGGGGACACAGCTCTTCCCAAGGTACTACCGTCCTTGTCCTTGTGTGTTGCACTCGTTTTCAAACTCTATTTTATTTTGGGATATTTAAGCCTCTACCTCCCTTCCACCAACCCTTTAGTCATAGGTAAGAGAGAGAAGGTTAATGGGGAGAGGGTGCACAGACCTCTTTACTTCTCCTGGCTGTTTAGGGTCAAGGGGTTCATTTGGTGCTATACCAATGTCTGTCAACAGCAAATGCAGCCAGCAGTCTCCTCCAAACTTCCACACTTTCTCTTCCTGGGCTCTGTATTTATACCCTTCAGAGTCCTAGACCATGCCCCCCGCCCCTTCATGCTGCACAAGGTAGGCCATTATCAGCTGGCAAAAACCACGATGTGCAGGAGACAATTAACAGCTGTGGACAAACTAAAGCCCAAACTAAAATCCCACACTTGGGATTTTAAAAGAAGCATATTTACATACGAGTTTTTAAAAAAAAAATTTCCATTACACTTGTAAGGTGTTTAGCAGCCTCTTCCGATCTCTGACTCAGGCTCTGATTCCCTCATCTTGTCAGTGTTAGATCTAAACGTTGTACTCTGCTGCAGAATACTTAGAAATCCAAGAGACTTCAGTACTGCTCTACTTCAGTACTGCATGAGTATTTTCAACTTTGTGCAAACCCCGTCAGAACATCTGTCAGGCAACTCATCTTGCCATCCTCGTCTCTGTAGTTCCAGGGGAGAAAAATGGAATTTGGGTACTTTGTTGATGGTGAAAGCTAGAACACAAGTCCCTAGAGTTGAAGACTCTTGTTGTATGTTTAATATCAGCAGGAATAGGAATTCCTGGGCCATTTCATGCCATTTCAAGAGAGGCAGAGGAAAGAAGCATTTTAGATCCTAGGGGAGAAGTTACTAGGCTGATGGAAACGGACTCAGGTCAGAACATCCAGAGAAAGTCTCTCACTCCACGGGCATCTGAGTGGTACATAACTGTATCTGCTTGGGGTGTTCTCAGAAGCACAAATATACCCACTGACTTGTACAGCTCCTAGTAAAAACACCTTTGTGTGTTTTGTTAACTTCAGAGTCTTGCAGAGCAGATCGATAACAGTGGACTCATCACCATGGGAAGAATGGTAGGAAGCTGTGTGGGAGTAAGGTCGCCCTCATTCCTGGGTACACCAGTAATTAGCTATACGGTGTCTGGATGGCTGACCCAGCCAATTTCCACAATGGGATAATGCAGGCTACACATTTTAATCACTATTGAAATAGAGATGCATTGCTGAGAGCAAAGTTTTTCCAACAGGTAAGTACCAAGGAACTGAATGAATACCCTTACACATCACAACAGCACAGCCTTACCACCTTCCCCATCACCACAGCACAGCCTTAGCCACTAATACCATAGCTTTCACAACAGCTCAGAGCCCCACGCTTCAGAGCTGTGCAGCCTTACCCAAACCCACCCATCACACTAGCCCAGCCTTCCCCATCCATCACAATGATACAGCTCTACCCACCCCACACCTATTATGACATCATCCACAGTTTGACTCACATTTATATAAAATGTGTAATATGTACAATAGAGGAAGTGCATCCTACACATGTAAATTATAATTCCATACAGCGGACACAGACATAATAATGCTCAGTTCCCTCCTCAAAGGTTTGTTTCATGTATTCATTTTATCTTTTAAAATAGCCCCTGTGAGGTAGATACTATTTTAATCCATATGTTACATAGAGAAAATAGAAATATTAAGTGGCTTACCTAAAATCACACAAATAGTAGGTAGCAGAGCTGAGATCTGGATTTAGAAGCCAGGTTGACTTCTATTAACTATGCTTTTTAAAAGTTATTAGTAAAAGGAAAAATACATCAGTTAGGTACAAACCATATTAATCTTATGAAATTTAAGAGGAAATTATTGCTATATATAAAGAGGAGGGTGAATTATCGAATTGATTCAATATGAAGGCATACTACCCTAAACATATATGGCTTCAAACAGAGAAGGCAAAGATCAATAGAACCAAAGCAGTACAAAGACAAGTCTGTGGTAACAGCCAATGGTCATAACACACCTTTGTCGATAAAATGGTGGAACAAGCAGGACTCGCGCACAAACCCACATGAGAACCGAAAAATCATCTTAACTGACAACTGAACACTTTCTGTGCGGTCCATATGATATGTTCACCAAAGTCCAGCCTTGCGCTGGATAACACCCAAGACTCGGCAACTTTCAAAAAGACTCAGATCACACATAAGTATGTTCTCAGGCCACAGTAAAATTGATTCCAAAATCAATACCAAAAGGATGGCTAAAAACCTCCAAATAGTTTTAAATTAATAACACAACTCTAAGTTCAGGGTTCGAAGAAATCACAGCTGGAGTGCTGTCATGTGGCAGTAAAGAAACTGAAGTGCATAAAATTACAATTTGGCTAAAGCAAGGCTTAGAGAGTAATCCAAAGCTTTGGTAGAAGAAAAAAAAAAAGTCTGGACAGTTGTAGTGTTTTATCAGAAGCAGCTGAGGGAAAGTTCATCAAGTTACTCCCAAAGAAAGTACACAGAAATGAAAATGAAAGCTGAAATAAGTGAAGTAACAAATGAGGCATGAGGGGGGAGGGAAGCAGAACTGAAAGTGGATTCTTTAAAAAGCCAAATTACAATGAAGCCTAAGCCACTCTTTCATGCCCTGCCACAACACTCTCATCATATTAGGAATATCCCCTTAAAGTTGGGTGTTTGAGCCCATCCTCCTCCTGCGAGCACTTCATAACGCTAAGCAGTGTTAGCATGTCCGTTCCCCTTTTGACTGAGTCTGCAGATTCTTTTCTAACTATTCTCCTGTCTCTGTTTGTTCCATGCTAAGCAGACGGCCCAGAAATTAGCCAAAAGCAGGAAGAAGGTGCAGTACAACTTCATCACTTGGTGTTACGCCTGTCCTTTTCTTTTACGTTTTGCCTTTTTATGATTTCGTGTTTTTGTTTTCTGCATCCAGCAAGTTTTTGTTCCAGTTTCGTTTTGAATCTCTCCATAAGCCAGCCTTTCTCCAAACTTAGTTGCCTCAAGTGGCCATTTTCTGTTGCTCATTTGGTCATTTCACTTCAGAGGAACAACAGGGAGCAGATTGGAGATGCTAAATGAATCCTCTAGTGTGGAAGCTGCAGCCATTCAGGAGCAATGATGTAGCAGGGACCTGGGACTACTCAATTACAGTTACATTCAATTTGACAACTTCTCAGATTGCTGGATGCAAAAAAGAAAACCCACTAATAACCACACATGTGCAGGGTTCAGCCCTAAATGAGCCAGGCTGCACTTTGGGGGTGTTTGTAAGTTACTGTGAGGATGTGAGACACTGGGGGCTCTCTGTAATGGGGTGGCTGCAGGAGCAGGCAGCCGCTTCTGTGTTGCTCTTGTAATGTGTAAACATGAAGACCCTCTTTCCAGAACTGCATCCAGTGGCTTCATTTGCACCCACTACAGACGTTGTTCTCCATCAGCTCTGCAGGGTAAACTGAGTGACTAGTCCAAGGTCCTCACCATGAGTTAGCTGCTCTTACCCTTCAGTCTCCAAAACCCTTGCAGAAAGGGTCTCTTGCCATCATGTCCAGAGTTTATCTGCTGCAGTGACTGCTGCTGTAGGGGGAGCGGCAGAGGGGACTCTGCCATCCCCTGTAACATAGAGCTAACCCCTGCCCATGTGTCCATCCTCTCTGTAACAGCTTTGGCAGTTTAACCCTGTGTTGCCATTCTGGTAACTGTCTTGGTAACCCAGTGTGTGAGCTAACCTTCTCCCATGCCCCTGGGTTAAAATAACATAACGAGACTTCTCTTTGATGCGCTTTCTTTTTAGGCTCCTGAAGGTGAATCTCAGCCAATGACTGAGGTGGACCTCTTCATTTCTACCCAGAGGATTAAAGTATTGAATGCAGATACACAGGTACCAGCTTGTTCCCACCTTTCTTGGGGGCAGAGGTCAGGGAAATTTTAATAGACTTTCTGCCTGTAAAGTGGCTATTCCCAGGTATTAGGGTGCTGCATCTTGCATGCTGGGTCCCGGAAACCTGGCTGGGGCAATGAGGGAATGAAGAAAGGGCAGATACACATAATAGCTGGGATTTGGTGGACCATGTGCTCTGAGATGTACCAGCAGCAGCCTCAAAACTCAGCCTGTTTATTTTATACTTCTGAACAAGGAGGCAGGTTTAGCTAATCTCAGTAGGAAGTATCTCTAGGAAAGCAGTCTTAGGTAGTAAGACTGAGGAGGACAAAGCTAGGGTCTGTGTTTTCTGCACACATTTTGTCAACATCTACACATGGACCAGGGGAAAAGCTTTGCCATCCCCATGGGTCAGACATTGGGACCCTTTGATGTGTCTGTATTCATGTTGATGATAAACATTCAGTCAGGACTTCATCCATTCCACATGCTGGGCTCCTGTCAAGCTCAAAAGACTTTGTTCACAAAGGCTGATGCTAGGTAAAACCATGAAGAATTTCTTAAAGCACAAAGGAAAAACTCAGAATGTTTGTTGTCTATCACTCATATGAGTTCTCATGAAAGAAGTCATTAGCCTTAAGGAATTCTACTTAAAATTGCACACCATGTGCGCGCACGCGCGCGCACACACACACACACACACACAGGCATGTAAGCATATACACACAATGGCATTTAGATTTTTTTTCAGCTTCACCACAGATTGTACACAGTGTAAAATGTTTGTATTTCTCCTGCACATATCACTTACTCTTCATTAACCAAGAAAAAATGCCTCAGGCCTTAGGGGTGGGTCTGACAGTGAGGGTTTTTCCCTGATCCCACCTCACCTGGGTTCCACACTCAGCTGAAGTGAGGGAAAAAGATAACCACCACCTACGTTTTATGGTCCTGCATGCCAGACTCCCCTGCTCTGCCCTTCACGTCTAGGAGCCTATGATGGACCACCCCCTGAGGACCATCTCCTACATCGCGGACATCGGGAACATTGTCGTGCTGATGGCCCGCAGGCGAATGCCCCGCTCCAACTCCCAGGAGAATGTGGAGGCCTCTCACCCATCCCAGGATGGAAAAAGACAGTACAAGATGATCTGCCATGTCTTTGAGTCTGAGGACGTAAGGCTGGCTTCCCCAACTTCCCTCTGGGTGACTTGGATAGCCACTAGGTGACCAGTTTCTCAGGACCTGAATCATTCTGGTTCATTATACATTAAATATATTTATTGAGCACCTACTGAATGTCAAGCATTGTTGTAGAACTGCAGATTGAAGTGTATAGGAAATAAATAAACTAACTTAATAAATGAGACGTGGAAAGTGGTTTACTGAAGTATAAAACAGGGTCAGTGCACAAGGGACAGGACTAGTTCAAGTAGGGTGATCAGCATAGTCTATTTTTTTTTCAAGGAGGAGACATTTGAACAAAGATCTGAAATGAGAGTAGGGATTAGCAAGTGCAAAGGCCCCGAGGCAGGGGAGTGCTGAGTTTGGTTGGGGAAGAAAAGCAGCCATGCTGCCAGCAGGCTTTGGAAGAAGAAGACCCAGACTGCCAGTCTGAGCAAGTCATCATGGCACCAGGGTGTCTGCAGAGGAAAAGTTCAGAGCTGTGCAGAACTGTCGTGCCATCACAGTTAAGTTACTGTCCCTGTTTTTCCCAGCCCAATGACAGGAGCATCACCCACTAGATCCAGACTTCTTAACCACTGAGCCATCTCTCCAATTCTTTTTTCTTTTTTTTTTTTTACAAAAAAAAATCCATAAATATAATAAAGAAAATAGTCATAAATAAGAAAAACAGGTTAATATTAAATCATGGTACAATGTATAAATGCTTGGGCACAGCCATTCCAGAAAGCACCATGAAGTAGCCAGATGTTTACACCTGCTTACTTAGGTTTGGCTGTAAGGACAGTATTGTATTTGACACAATGCTGCAGATAATTTCTACTTGAATTTTTTAATTGAGGGCTAAGCAAGAACCCATGTCTAACAAGCAGGATCTCCATGCACCATGGAGATTGACAGGGATGTGATCCTTAACAACTCAGATGCAATGCTCATGAATGATATGGATGATTTTGAAAGAGATGAAAGCTACTTATAAAATCTCGAAGGACTTTTATTTTGTATAGTATTATTCTTGTAATATGCAGCGTAGCCAGGGCCACCCAAAAAATCTTTATATTTAAATATAAACTGGAACCCAGTCATGGATACAGTGATTAGATACAGGTGTTACATATAATATGAATGTATGGTGGGCTATCCAAAAATTGTACAGGATGTAGACTGGCTTGTCATTGTGTATGACTGTTCTTTGTATAATAGAATGTCCTGCACCTCTGATTCCTGTCTACTGAGTGCCAGTGACTCCTTTATGGGCACAATCATAATAAGAAACATTGATTTTATTTTTTTCGAATAGTTCCTAATAGGTACTGGTAAACCTGGTGTAGAATGGCTGACTGGGCTGCCATTTAGAACCCTCAAATGCCACAAGGGATCATCCAGGGGTAAGTGTGCCAGGAGTTCCCCACTCACCATCTCTCCCTATGCTGCTGCTATAGGCCCAGCTGATCGCACAGTCCATAGGACAGGCATTCAGTGTCGCGTACCAGGAATTCCTCAGGGCCAATGGGATTAACCCGGAAGACCTCAGCCAGAAGGAGTACAGTGACCTCCTCAACACCCAGGACATGTACAACGACGACCTGATCCACTTCTCCAAGTCGGAAAACTGCAAAGATGTAGGTACTTCCCAGAACTTGCTCCCAGGCTGAGGCAGCTGGGCAGGTCCCTGAGGTGGAACAGCCTGCTGTGTGTGGAATAGAGGCTGAAGACTGGTATTGAGAGGACATTTTGTGGCTCTTGTGCCCATCTCTGCCCCCACCCCCAGAGGACTCTATCATTCAGTACTATCAAAAACAAGTACAAAATGCCCTTGTGACTTTTGAGGGAATTCTTTAGGTCTGAATACAGGACCTGATCTCTGTCCTTATGAAGGCCACAAGCCAGGTAAGGGCACTGAAACTGATCAGTGACACACTGGCTCACGCACTGGTGGAAGACAGCTACACTTGGCAAAACAGAGAACATGTGATCATACAACAGTTGCTTCATCCTCTTCTGTTTCAGGCTGAGCTCTGCAGGAGTGTCTGGAGGGAGACAGGGCCAACCAAGCCAGTCTGGAGTTCTGAGCCATTGGAACATTCAGGGCAGCAGAGAATAGAAAGAGCAAGGAACAGTTAACAGTAGGAATACCTGAAGGTTAGGATGCTGGGACATCAGGGAGGGGGTGAGTCAGTTGGAGCAGGAAGTGAACACAGGAAGAGACAGGAGATATAATGTGCCAGTTTGAAACTCTAACCAAAAGGGTCAGACTCTATTCTCCAGATAAAAAGAACTGAATAAGAAAGTGAGCCTTGGAGCCATTTGGTGTCTCTAGTCAGGTTCCTTGGACCGCAGCCTAGAAGAGGACTCTTAGGGAGGTTCAATGGAAGCCTACACTCAGCAAATGGGGAGTTATGGGAGGTACTGAGGAAGAGTGTGTGCTCTTACTGGGCATTACCTTCCTTCCGAACCACAGGGCAGGACTCCCAGAGGTAGCTGTGCCCTCTGTCTCATATTGGCCCAGGATGGGCAGGGATATCCATTTCCTAGGGCTGCCATAATAGATACCACAGGCTAGGCGGCTCCAACAGCAGGCAGGACGTTCAAGGTCAAGGTGTTGGTAAGTTTGAGTCCTCAGGGCTGGGAAGAAAGGCTCTGTTGACACCTCTCTCCTTGCCTCACAGAGGGCCTCTTCTCATGGCCTCATGTCATCTTCCATACGTCCAAATCTCCTATGAGAGTACACCCTAATGTCCTTGGTTTAGCTCTGTTGCCTCCGTAAATACCTTGGCTCATGTTGAGGCACTGGAGGAGGCTGTGGGAATTAGAACTGCAACACAGGAATTTGAGGGATGGGTAAAGAGCCCAGAGCATAACAGGGATGTGCTCTCCCTCTTGGCTACGGGAAATGCTTCAGGGAAGGAGCCCACTGCTGCTTCATCTCCTGGGAGGAGTGGGCAGCATCTGTGAAGGTAGCTTCGTCAGGCCCCAGCACATATGTACACAGACTCCGGTGGATGTTTGTGGCTTCTCTGCCAGCTATCAGAGGCCACATATTACGTATGCCCACGATCTGTTTTTCCTGTGTGCCTCACAGCCTTTTGGTCAACATCACTGTCCTCCCTCACCTTCCTCCTCGAAGAGACATATTTCATGAATTTATTTTCCACTCAAAATCTTACACACTAAAGAGAGTGGGAAAACCTGTGCATAGAATCCAAAAGCCACCAAAGCTCTAACTGCAAAAGACAACTGATGTTTGAAAAGAAAACAGGAAAGCCTGTTGTATTTCCGTGCGCCCCTTGTATTTATTTATGCATGAGGCCAGGTTGGTCATATGAAATGAGGGTCAATTCCAGGTCTAGATGGGTTTGTGTGAAGCAGTTTCTTACAGACTCCAGATGCCATGGGATGTGGAGAAGATGGAAATTGACCTGGACTGGCATCCTCAAAGAAGTGTCTCTCACCAACCCCACCCCCCCCCACACACACACACATAGCACATAGGCTCTGATATCTATCCCAAATGGCTGCTGATTTGAGCTTTCTGTGTATTTTTCTCCCCTTCAGGTTTTCATAGAGAAACAGAAGGGAGAAATCCTGGGAGTTGTGATCGTGGAGTCTGGCTGGGGATCCATTCTACCAACTGTGATCATTGCCAACATGATGCACGGCGGCCCCGCGGAGAAGTCCGGGAAGCTGAACATCGGGGACCAGATCATGTCCATTAATGGTACCAGCCTGGTGGGCCTGCCTCTCTCCACCTGCCAGAGCATTATTAAGGTACCTAGGCACGAGAAAACCTTCTCAGTAACATACCTGAAGAGACTGCCATCGGGTCCTCAAAATCTGTGAACATTTTTAAGCTCAGGCACTGAGGAAGACCCAAACACAAGCGGCATGGACTTGCTCTCAGGGCAGGCAACACTCAGGTTACTATTTTAAGTTTCTAAGTCAGGATCACAGGAGATATGTGTGCCTTGAGTAACAGCTACATCTAATCCAATGCCCATCCTAGCATAGTTCACCAGTTAAATCACTCTCTGCCACGTAAGGAGGCCCCAGCAGGGTTTCGTTCAGCTCTGTACCCCAGGTCATTGCTTATAGCCAGCCAGGTATACGTGAATGAGGTGACTTCCCACCCTCTTCAGAGAACACTGGTGCCGGCCAACCTGTCCCTGCTCCTGAGCCACTGCCTGAATGCCGTAGGGAGAAAACTTGCTCTAGCCCACACGTTCATTTTTGCGCAGCCCTCACTGATGCCATCACTAAAGAAAAGAGTTACCTAATGAGAAAATGAATGTGATTCCTTGAGGGGCGGGGAACTGGATTTTCTTGTTAGCAGTGAGGCATCTGTGTATGTAGCCTGTAGAGAACACTGATCCTTGCTGCGTCTATAGCCACTATGCCACTAACCCATTCCCAGGAAATCAGCAGGCTTGGATGCCTAGCTTTCCTTGGTCCCAGGGGTTTCAAAGAGAACACTACTCTGGGGGGGAGGGGGATGAATATGTCTGTACAGTAGCCATCTTGTGCCAAAGGAAACCAGCAAAAAGCCAGTCATCCTCATCTGAGGAGTTGGGACAAGGGTGCAGGTGAGCATACCAGGCAGGGTGATGTGGCTCTGCTTCCGTTGCCAGGGTACACTTGTTGCTTACTATACAGCCGTGTGTGGAGAAAAAGCTCCGAGAGATGTGTCAGTAGGCAATTTTGTCACTTTCCATACATCACAGACTGCTTACATAAACTTAGGTCAGTCACCGGATGTGGCCTCTTGATAAAACCAAGAAAGACAGTAATTGTAGGACCCATGAGCAGGGTGCCAGCAAAAGACAGCATACTATCTTATGGTTAATGCTGTGTATTAACAAGTAGGAGTACACCCTAAACTAATTATGGAATAAATATTTAATGTATGCTAGCAACATAGCCTTTATTATTTTGTAAATATATGTGTAGACACGCACACATGCTGTTTTTATGCATAAAAGTTGGCAGCGCAGTGAGTCCACACAGATGTCCCCACAGACACGAGGCGTGTCTCCAGGTACTAGGAATCTGTCAGTTCCACTGTCGTCTCGCAGGGCTGCTGTGGTTGACTAAGCCTCGCTGTGCAGCACATGTCTGGACAGTAATGATGAGTTCCAAGAATCTGCTTAATGCCAGGATTCATTCAGATCTGTTTAATTGGACCTTTGTTAGGTGCTGAGCCGAGCCATGGAGAAGCCATACATGTGGAAGGCAATTCTATTGCAGAAAGGGTGTGTAGCAGCATAGAGGTGAAAGGCTGCAAGTGTTTAGGGGAGGAAACATTTACAGGACAGTGTATAAGTTGACTTTGAAAGCGTTAAAGCCTACGTTTGTATCAGGAAGGACAGTGGTGTTTAGAAGTGTCTGCCTGAACTGATGGACAGTGAACTGGCTTTGAATTAAGGTGAAGAACTTAGCCTGACCTGCAAGGTTAGATCTGGTGTTGTCATGGTGACCTCTACTGAAAGGCAGGATCATAGCCCATTGGCCTGCTTTCTCCCTTCTCTCCTGTGAACAAATTGTGTGTGTGTGTGTGTGTGTGTGTGTGTGTGTGTGTGTGTGTGTGTGAACTGCAAAGGGTGGGGTGGCCCAGACAGTGAGTAGGTCCTCATCCAGGATCTGGGCCTAGCAAGAAAAGGTGACTGGCCCCACACTTAGAGAGGTCAAGGGCTGTGTACCCAGCACTGAGCAGAGGATGATTGTAGATTAGCTCACTGAACTCGTTCATGGATGCTGGTTGTTCATGAACTTCTCTGCAGCAGGTACTGTTGTCATCTTTTATGCAAGTAGGAAACCGAGGCATAGAATGGTGATCACATAGCTGGCCCTTAGTGGAAACAGATCACTCAGCCAGTGAACGATGTGCACCTGAGGCAGCGCTGTCCAGGGAACGTGTCTATCTAAGTGCACAACTTTAGCCAGAGGTAATCACATATGCCCCGGGAGCCTGGAGAACGCCTTGGCTATTGCACTGTGGAGAAGGCCCTTCAGGCCCATCCTGTGACGCATAGGACAGCCCCCACACAGCCAGATGTTGATCGTACCAGTCCTGAGGATCTGTTTGTGGAGTGCAGAATTCAGATATGAGAGGGAGAAACCAGTGAGTGAAGTTGGCTAAGGGTGATTTTGTGGGGAGTTGATCTATGTCTGGAAAGAATTCAGGAGAAGAGGAGGGATATTTTAGACTGACTATGTTTCTTTGAAATACATGTTGAGGCCCTAAATCTAGGCTATATTGGGAGGTGATTAGGTCCTAATGGTGATGCTTTCATGAATTGGATCAATGCCTTTATGCAAGGTACCCTACGAGCTCTCTCCTCAGTGTGAAAGCAATGAAAAGCTGCCAGTCTGCAGCACAGGGAAGGCCCTTCATCATCTCCTGACTGCCAGCATCCTAATCTCAGACTTCTGGCCAGCATAACAAGTAGAAGCAACTTTCGTTGACTATAGGCTACCCAGTGTATAATATTTTATTGTGGCAACCTAAGCTGACTGGAGAGAGAGACAAGACAGAGACAGAGAGACAGACATAGAGACAAACTTGAATAAAGATGGGGATGGATCTGAGTTTCAGAAGCAGGAATTTCTGATAACTCTCAGCCCTATGTTCCTATAAGCCTCCCCTTACCTGAAATCCCAAAGGTGCAGGGCCCTCAGCTGGCTGTTCAATGGACCCTCTAAATGACACAGACTAGACGAGGGGCCATGGTATCCATGAGGTCAGCCTGACCACCTTGACTGCTGCTTGGGAATCTAGCTCTGTCCACAGATCACCAACTCAGGATGAAAACAAAGCTTGCTCAAATGCAAACAGAGTGGCCCTGGAACTTCCTGAGAAGGAAAGGTTGTTTGAGGAGCTGAACTTTGATGTCTGTAAATAGAATCTCCATGGACTCGGAAGATGAAAAAGCCATGTGATGATGAAAGAGACAACTGCTGACGAGGGCCCGAGAAAGCCGCTGCCTCTGTGGCCTCCTCTCGGCAGAGATGTGCACAGCAGGCAGGCCTCGTTAGAAACTGCCAGGCGCTCTCAGAGTCTTGGGAGCCTCAGCTTTGTTTAGCTGAAAAATTAGATAGCCACAAGATAGGGTCTTGTGTTGGCTGGAGAACATGTGCCACACCTGCCGGAACACACAAGGCTAGATGAAGACTGACCCTCAGTCGATTTAGGCCATTTCTATAGTTCTCTAGACATCACTGCACTGTGTGCCTGGACCCAGACAGGTGCTCACTGTCCAACCCCTAACCCCTCAGCTACTGCAGGGGGTTCAAACGTCTAGGCTTCAAAACTTTACTGTAGTGCTGTTTACTTCAGTAGGTCCTCATGGGATTTGTAGTTTTTCTATCCAGCATCTAGCATCTTACATCTTGATTAGTCACTGCTTCTCACACTCACATGAGGCACCCAGGGATCCTGTTAAGATACCGGTTTTGTTCTTATAAGTCTTCAGTAGGGCTCTGCTTTTTCAGCAAGCTCCCAGGAGCCTTCTGGCCTGCCCTTTGAGGAACAGGCATCTAAGACAGAGGCCATTTTCTGTCTTACCACTCTTATCTCTTATCTTACCGCTCTTATCACCACTTAGCAATGCTCATTGCCCCCCCCCCAACACCAGATTACAGGAAGTAGAATGTTTCTGGTTACGGAAACCCTCTAAATTTTCTTTTGCCTGCCCCTTACCTTTCCAGTTGTAATTTCTTTCTAAAGTGTGGTCATTGGTAAGTAAAGCATCTGTCCCTGCTCATGCCATTGTCTCCAAGTCCTGATCTGTAGATGTCTGTTCTTTTTTAACCTACTGCCCAGCTTCCCTTTCCTTCTCTAGAGTATCGTGGTTCTGCGCTTGTTGCTATAGATACCACTCTTGCTTCTTCCCTTCTCACTTTTGTTTCCTAATTTGCTACATCATTCACTGTTGTCATGGGGATGAAATGACCATTTATTTAATTGGCACCTCCAACAAAATGGCAGGTAAGAAATCTAAGTTAATGGGACCCAACTTGAAACACTGATTAGGGATAGCAGAGCATATAATGCCCTAGTTATTTCAGAGCCTTATGTTGAAGCATATTTTCTCCATTCTTAAAATTATCTTGCTGAGGGACCCAACAGGTATCTTAAATCAGTTCACCAGAGCAATGTGAAATTTTTAGGTAATACTGGGAAAATGGTTTCATTCTCATGGTATAGTCTATAAGGTCTTCTGAATTACCCAAACACACCTAAATAATCCTGGGCTGTCAACAGGCGTAAGCATTTAAACAGGTGGCTTTGTGTGAAGGCCCACAACCCCTTCCATCAGCTCCTGTCGCTCTCAGCTCATTTTCCGCAAAGTCCTGGTCTTGTGCGTGATCTGCAGAGGAGTGCGGCACGTGGATGTAGTGGGACTCAAGCTGCTTAGGCCCCCTGTCTTGGTTCTGATAGTCTCTGTATTAGAGAACATCTCTGTATACTCTCTTAGCCTCATGTCCCCTCAGTTCCAGGAGACCTAAAGAATCTTATTCCCTCCAGTATCAAGTGTCTAACCCATTTCTTTGTATGTAAGCAACTTTTAAGTGAACAAAAAAGAAGAGGTGCTCAAGAAAAAAATATAAGCATGTGGCAAAGGTCCAGACTCCATGCTTCGCAATACCTGTTTTGATGTTGGGGAGTGAGTCTGTGTTTTGAAGCCTGATGGCTGAGTTTCAGTGTCCTAGGCTGAGGCATTTAGAAAGACATATATAGAAACTGGACCTGGCAGAGTGTCACCATGGAGAAAACAGTGGAGAGAGTAAAGTAAAGTACCTAGGAGCCTCTTGCTTGTGGAAGCAAAAACATGACAGGAACTCTGGTTTAGGGACACAAGCACTTTCCGTCCTCCTTACCTGTCTGGTCCCACTGCTGGGAGCAGAAAACCAGACCTTATTTCTCCCTTGTTGACATAATGTTGAGACTTGTCAACACAAGGCCAAATCTGTCACTGGCATCTTATGCAGGAAAAGGGCACGCAATTCATTCAGCTGCATTGTTTCAAACTGCTGGGTGATGCCAGTGTGAGTTTGAGCATCAAGTCACATGAGGTGCTATCTCTAGGGGATATCATGGATCTGAATAAAAGCTAGCTTTCCCACAAATCTCTGAGAGCATGCCCACCCACCTCAAGACACTTCAGCCTTGATTGCTTGGAGGAAAGTCCAAATGACCTTGAGCCATTTCTTAATCAGCTGGTCTTGACAGATAGGAGTCCAGTTAGGCAGGGATTTCTTCAGTGCTCTGATCTTTTGGCCTCAGCTATAGCAGCAGGGCCTCCAGACACACCAGTGTAGTCTTTCTGCTCCAGGATACAAAAATTATTTTCTTTATACAGTTGTCTTGAACTGATACACAAAGCATCTGCTGGAGAGGACATGCATGGAGAGACTCAAAGAGCTTTGAGCATGGGCTTGTCAGAGTATCTGCTCTGGCAAACAAAAGGCATCCAAGGCAGAACAGGCCTTCCTCAGAGCCAGCTGCGCTGGAGGGAGCATGCTTATTTCTGGGCTGGCCTCTTCTGCCCAGTCCCCATTTCTCAGCTGATGAGGTGACGGGTGGGCCTGCCTGAGGGAAGGATTATGTGACTGATGTAGAGCCCTCCAAACAGGCTCTGAAAACTGTAGAGGAATTTTTAATTCAGAACATAGCTGTTCTGGCAAGAGATCACATCCAAAGACTTTCTGTGTGATTTGGCTGGAATGCAAACATGCCTTTAATCCATGAGACGGAGGCAAGAAGATCTGAGTTCAAGCCAGCTTGGTATAGAGCAAGGTTCAGATAAAGAAAAGCTTAGATTCAGGTGTGGTGGCCTTTAATCCCAAACAGTGAAGGTAAAGTTACTTTGTAGAAGGAGGCACCCATGTTTGAAAGTGATGTCTAATTGAGTGTCAGAAAAAGGTGACGAATCAGAGAAACATTTGACAGAATAGTCTAGGCCCAACTGTCATGACAAGAGAGGAAAAAGAAGTTACTTAAGAGGCAATGCAGAGAGAGAAGAAGCAGTTTACCAGGACAGTAATAGACAAGTTGCAGAGAGGGAACACAGGTGAAGACAGAATGAGCCAGAGAGTGAAAAGGAGAAGAAAAATTAGAAAAGATCACTTGAGTTAGTTTGAGGCCAAGCAGAGCAGTTCAGGGGACAAGAGGGAAGCCAGATTAAATAAGTTAGCTGGGAGAGGAGTTTGAGCCAGAACAGCTGAGTTGAACCAGCCAGCCCGGAGCTCAGTAAGAACAAATAAGGGTGAGCCTATTAAGCAGTAAATCTCAGAGGCTGAAAACATTCTAGGCCTAGGTTAGAAGCTTCCAGGACTAGGACTAAGCAGTAAGCATCAGAGACAACACTAAAAAAGAGGCAAATAAAAGATACTTTTACACTGTTGATAGTTAAAGGCCAGCTTTTATTCTACAGTCCATTCTGAGCTAGAGGAAGAGCAGGCAACCAAGGATGAACCCATGTACAGTCTTCATGTTTCATTTCTTCAGAATCTATCACCTCCTAAGGAGACAAAAATCCACTGGAGCTTCCGGCTATCATGGTAATTCCCATGAGCAGGAAGTTCTCACCAGACATGGAATGGGGAAGAAGAGGGCAGAGAGACCCAGCTGTGTAAAAGAGATGTTTCTATGACGTGCAGGCCCTTTTTTAGGAGTCACTCATTGCTAGAGTTTGCCCTGAGAGGAAAAGGCTCATGTTGCATCTCTACCAGCACTGTATACCCCTCATCTTCCAAACACGTGATTTTTTTTTTTTTTTTTTTTTACAGTTGTACTTTTGTCAGGTCCCTTGACACAGTCCATTTTCCAAAATAAAGATGCCATCCACAGGACACCCATCTCACACAGACTGAATGGGTTTCAGGGAGGCATCATGGGGACAACCCCAGCTCAGGGAAGTATAGCCTGCAGGTGGCATTGAGGACTTTAGGGACTACATGTGTGGGTGCTGCCTCTGTGTTGGGCAACATCTACTTTTTTTAATTTTTATTTTATTTTTATTAATTAGAGTTTATTCACTTTGTATCCCAGCTGTAGCTTCCTCTCCTATCCCCTCCGAATCCTACCCTTCCTCCCTTGTCTTCTCCTATGCCCCTCCCCAAGTCCAATGATAGGGAAGGTCCTCCGCCCCTTCCATCTGACCCTAATCTATCAGGCCTCATCAGGACTGGCTTCTTTGTCTTCTTCTGTGGACTGGGGAGGCTGCTCCCCCCTCAGGTAGAGGTGCTCAAAGAGCCAGCCCCTGAGTTGATGGCAAAGACAGTCCCTGTTCCTATTACTGAGGAACCCTCTTGGACACTGAACTACTCTGGGCCACATCTGTGCGGGGGTTCTAGGTTATCTCCATGCATGGCCCTTGGTTGGAGTATCAGTCTCAGAAAAGACCCCTGTGCCCAGATTTTTTGTTTCTGTTGCTCTCCTTATAGAGCTACTGTCCCCTCCAGGTCTTTCTATTTTCCGCTTCTTTCATAAGAGTCCCTGCACTTTGCAAAAAGTTTGGCTATGAGTCTCAGCATGTTTTGATACCCTGCTAGGTAGAGTCTTTCAGAGGCCCTCTGTGGCAGGCTCCTGTCCTATTCCCTGTTTTCTCCCTCTATTGATGTCCATCCTATTAGCCTTTCTGAATGAAGATTGAGCATCTTACACAGGGTCCTCCTTTTTTATTAGATTCCTTAGGTGTACAGATTTTAGTGTGATTATCCTATATTATATGTCTAATACCCACTTATAAGTGAGTATATACCATGTGTGTCTTTATGCTTCTGGGATACCTCACTCAGGATGATCTTTTGTAGATCCCACCATTTCCCTGCAAATTTCATGATTTCCTTGTTTTTTATTGCTGAGTAGTATTCCATTGTGTAGATATACCACAATTTGTGCATCCATTCCTCCACTGAGGGGCATCTGGGCTGTTTCCAGCTTCTGGCTATTACAAATAAGGCTGCTACAGACATGGTTGAGCAAATGTCCTTGTTGTATACTTGAGCATCTTTTGGATATATGCCTAGGAGTGGTTTGGCTGAATCTTGAGGAAGCACTATTCCTAATTGTCTGAGAAAGTGCCAGATTGGTTTCCAGAGTGGTTGTACAAGTTCACATTCCCACTCTTCCTGACTAGGTGGTCACCATCTCCACTGTGTTTTGTCAATGTTTAAGGGCTTAAAGAACCAGTCCCGCGTGAAGCTGAACATTGTGAGGTGCCCCCCGGTGACCACAGTGCTAATAAGGAGGCCGGACCTTCGCTACCAGCTGGGTTTCAGCGTGCAGAACGGAATTGTAAGTACAACTCAAAGCGCACTGTCTTGTAAAATACTGACAAATGAAAATGGGGGTATAGTGAATTTTTTTTTTCCAAGTTGGTCCATTTCCTTCATCTTTTCATTCAGTAAAGAGGTTTAGGGTTTTCAGTTTGGTTTGGTTTGGTTAGGATTTGTTTGTTGTTTTTTGTCGGTTGGTTGGTTTTTTAAGACACACTTTCTCCGTGCAGCTCTGGCTGTCCTGGACTCATTTTGTAGACCAGGCTGGCCTTGAACTCCACCTGCGTCTGCCTCCCTAAGGGCTGGGATTACACCTATGTGCCACTGCACCTGGCTTGGGGTTTTCCGTTTTAATTTGACCAGCTTCTTGAGATTTTGTTTGTTTGGAGATGGCGTATGCCAGGTGAGCACTCGACCAGTGAGCCCAGACCCTTGCTTGGTCTTATCTCCAATGTGGAAAGCAGCTAAGGAACGCATTGACCCAAGAGTCCCTTAAAGCAGGAAAGATCCACTTACTCTAGAACCACTAAGCTGCCTTGCTGCATGGCTTGTCTGCATCAGCTTCTGAATAGAGGTGCACAGTCTGGAATGTAAAGCCGTCTTCAGTAAGTTCACACACACACACACACACACACACACACACACACACTGGCTCGCTGTGGAAGGTGGGATCACCCCACGCTGCAGCGCTGGGAGGGTTCATTGACCAGTGGCCGCAGCCTAACCCTACGAAGTGGCTGGCTGTATCATCGATTCCATTCCTGTAAGAAGTGAGTTGGGCCAGGGACCACCAAGTCAAGAACAACAATGAGTGTTACTCTCCTCAAGCCACACCATGGAACAGAGTAGCTTTCTAGTGCCTCTTTGGCTCACACAAGAGTACTCCTCAAATCCAGGCTTCTGGCATCAAACAGTTCCAGGAGTAAGCCTGCTCATGACTAAGGAAGGCTCACTGAAACAGTGGCCGCTGCTTGATAGGTCCAGCATGGAGGGGAAGTGGTCAGCACTCCAGATACCAGTGTATTCACACCTGCCATGTACCCTGTGCAAAGCTCGTGCACAAGGCAGCCAAGGAGGCCTACAGAATCTACTTTTGCTGGCGCTATATATTGTACCAGGGATCAGACCCAGGATTTGTGGTTTCTAGTTAAACAGTCAACCACAGAGCTCCTTACCAGGCCACAGAACCCACTGCTCATAAGAACCATCTGAGAGATTGACATGGGCAAAGCCTCACCAAGTCAGCTCTCAGAGGTGGTCATGCTGGGGCACTAGGGTTCCCGGGAAAAGGCAGTCTTCCACCCTACGTGGTTCTGAGGTACGGCACTGCCCACCAAGTATAACCTGGTGTTTGCCCCTGGTAGATCTGCAGCCTCATGAGAGGGGGAATAGCTGAGAGAGGAGGGGTCCGCGTGGGACATCGGATCATTGAAATCAATGGCCAGAGTGTCGTGGCTACACCACATGAGAAGATCGTCCACATCCTCTCCAATGCTGTCGGGGAGGTAGGAATGAGGCCTGGGGCTGAGCAGGGTTAAGGTGTGTGCCCCTGGCACCATGCTAGCCTTGCTGGGAACCTTTTAGAACTCCCTTTCCCCTCCTGAGATGCTCCTCAGTAAGCAGGCCATCTGCCTCAGACCTGGCTGAGGTAAGCTTATTCCCCCACACATACACCTTTTCTTCAACACACATTGTATTTCTGCTATCTGTGGCTCCCCAAATTCCCCCTTTTTCCCAGTTAACCTCACTAGATGTTCTTAGAAGACACAAATTAGATTCAGGACCCATCAAACAGCAACCCCCAGCACCGGTATGGGCTCACATCAAGTCCACACATCATCTCTGGGGCTGTTGTTTTTGCTTTTGCAGCAGACCAGCTTTACATGGGCTGGCATGCCCATATTACTGAGACAAGAAGTAGGCCACCAGAGGCCCAGAGACCTTCTTCCCATAGAACCTTCTTTAATTTTTCAAAGGGCTATGAAAACGGAAGCCTTTAACTGGAAAACTAAGCCTTACCCAGATTCTCTCATCCTTTACAATCACCCCGACTTTCTAGAAAGCCTGTGGGTGTCACTCTCCCTAGGCCAGGCCGCAGAGTCGAGGGGTGAGCTGTCTTGGAAACTATGCAGTCGGAAGCATTATTTCCGAGGCCCCACCCAGGTAACATGGCTTTCCGTCCTCGCCTCAGATCCACATGAAGACGATGCCAGCAGCCATGTACAGACTGCTGACAGCCCAGGAGCAGCCTGTCTACATCTGAGCTGCGCTTCTGCGGTGGCATGCATGGAGGACCCTCCTCGCCGTGGTTGTGTTTCGCGCTGCATCGTGTGTCCACTGAGACATTCCCCTCTCGCGCCTAGCATCTGGTCTTACACAGGAAGAGAAGAATCAGCAAGGACCTCTTTGCTCGCTGTCTCTCTCCAGTTTGCTTTTTTTTCTGTTCCTTCCTTAATACCAGGGAAGTTTTGTGTGTGCCCCCTTGAGGGTGGAAAACAGCTAATATCTACCTGAGATCATTGGGGAGGGTCTTTGGGAGACCCTAAGGTGGTTGTCACTGCCCAAGGAGACATCATTCCTCCCAAGAGGCACACACTTCCCTGAAAGAGTTCCCAGAGGTAGCATAGGAGCTGATTGAGCAGTGCCTAAAACTTAATTGCTGTTCTCTCTGCCCTCCTCACTCGCTTGTTGGGAAGATGGTGGTGACAGGAGATGGTGTTGAACATCCTTAGAGCCATATCTTTAAGGACATTTGCTGCTTGCTATGGAGTTGGGGGCCCTCATACATTATTTCTGCCCAGAATTTCTGAGCCAGTTTTAAATTTCTTCCATAGTTTATTTGAGTTTCAATGGGTGTGCTAATACGGGCCCAACTGCAGAGAAAAGAGGAAGTGACATCCTGGACAAGGCTACTGTAACACTGTAGAGATCCTGGCAAGTCACAGGGCCTCTGAGGCTTCCCAGATTGTCCCAAGTTTACCAACTGGAGGAAAACCACAGGCAGGTATGATCTGCCTGTGCACTTGCACAGGCGCTTATGTGTACATAACACACACACACACCCTGCACAGTGTCTCATTTGCTCTCTGAAATCTAGCACACAGAGCCTGTGGGTAACCCCCAGCACCTCTCTGGAAGATCCCTTCCCCCTAGCAGAAGGTTGACATAGAGAAACAGGCCAGCCTACCTGGCTGAGGTTTGGCCTTCCCTTTCTCAACAGGCTCAGTGGCCTCTAAGACTCCCCCACCCCACATACACACTGGATGTCCTCGAGGGACAAACTGTGATGTGGGCCATGTCCCAAAGCTAAGCCAGCCTGAGCCTTTCACAGCCACTAGTGAGGATGTGATATTTCAAAGGCTAGAATAGATAAGCCACAAAGTCAGACAGATTTAACACTTGGTGTTGGGCCTAGGAATCCCCAAATTTGCTCCAGAAACATCCTCTACTATCTTGTAGGTCTGGGAGTGTGTAGCTGGTGTGCAAGGCGTGAGGTCTCCAACAGACACCTCACATTCTGGATCATGTCTCAGTCTAGTACATGTTTTCAATAATATCATTCTGAGCCAGTTTCACTTATTCTTGGTCCAAAGAGCAGTTTGTTTCCATGTGGGCTGTGGCTAGTTTTTGTTTTTGTTTTGTTTCTTTGATGATCTCAGTAGAGACAGGGGAAGAAAACTAATATATTTTGTACTCTGAATATAGCCCCTGTTCTCTGCATCTGGGATATATATGTTGTGTCTGTGGAAATGGGAGTTCAGTGAGCAGTGTTGGGGAGGATGGATTTATGGAGGGAAGAGAAGAATCCGTGAGAAAGAGAGATGTGAATAGAACAAGGTGAGGAACAAGAGGCTCCAGCCAGGGAGGGAGACAGTCAGCCCCCTGGGGTCTCTGACATCAGGAGTCACTGGAGAGAATCAGGAAAGCCTAGTGCTTACAGGGTTCTGCAGTAGAACCCTCAGCTTGACTTTAGCACAAGAAGTTCTGGTGATGAGAAGCCACCAGCTGTCCAGATAGCTGCCTGAGAAGGAATGGGCCTGCTGCCGCTGTGGAGTTGGGACCACAGGAGCCAGGCTATCTGGACTTATTTTTAAGGGTGTCTAACAGAACACTTCTGCATGACCAGGCCCAAGGTCAAACTCTAGCAAATGTGAAGACCAGGAACCATGTCCTGGATTTTCTTCACATCTCCTGAAGTAGCTAATCCATTGGGTATCTAGTATACTCACACACTGAAGAGTGTGACCCATGTCTCCTCTGCCAAAGAGATGATGGGTAGGACAAAAAGACACTACTGCTGGCGTGTACCAATGTCAGGCAATGGAAACCTTGGAAAGTCACGTGAGAGGCTTATGTTTGTCTGGTCCCAGGTGGCGACTGTAGGCACATGCCCAAGCACCTGGACAGGAAGGCAGAAGCAGGTCAGCAGAGGCTGACCTGGGCTGGTCAGAGACAGGCTCTCACTCCCAGTATAATCCCCAGGTAATCACAATGAAGTGTCTTCACCCCAGGGAAAGAGGAAAGAGAAAATACTTTCCATTCATGTTGTGTAAGAAATCTGGAAACTTTAAGAAGGGCTGAAAAGCCAAGCTTTTCTGTGAGCCCTCCTGGAGAACTAACAGTTTAGCATGATTGTAAAGATTACTTAGCTTTTGTGTTAATCAAACTGGTTCCTCCCTCCCAGGAGGAAAGCTCTTGGAGCCTGGTCCAGGCCCCCTGGCTGAAGTGTGTTCTTCCTCTGCTACCGTCAGGCTGAGCGGTTAAACCTGGGGTCTTGTCTGACATCCTCATATACACTTACATATGTAAATATCTCTTTACCCCCAATAATGGGGCCAACTACATACAGAGCCGCCTTCCCCAAACTGCAAGGCACAAAGCCCCTCTGCCCACTCAGCTGGGATATGCTGGTGACTCGGCTTTGGGGACAGGCTCCCAGATTTTCCTCACCCCCCTCCTACTCCAATGAGGTTGCACCACAACCCACTCAGCCTCTGCCTTCTCCAGCAGGAACACTTCAGGGAGCCACCATCAGCCTTGAGTTCATGAGAGGAAGAAAGCCCCACAGATCAATGGGGGGAGCCCACTTCCTGAGCAAGCCCTCCCTCCCTCACCACAGCAGGCTCCTGGGGGTAGAGCACGCGGCAGGCTGCCACCTCCCTGCACACGGGTTTGCTTTCTGAACTTTGCCCAGCAACATTGGCCTTCAGGGAGTCCAGAGTAACCTACTACCTCCCCCACTGCTCCCCTCCCCCCTGCAGCCCTGTCCACACCTACCCTCCCTGTCGTACACTGATGAAAACCCACCCACAGAGCCCTGTCCGGGTCTCTCCGCCCACTGGTGTAGCCGTCACCAATGTTTACAACCAAGGGCCGCCTCTTCCTGATGTTTTAACTCTCACCTCCACAAGGCTACCTGTTGGTTTGAGTTTCACCTCTGTCTGCCTCTTCCCTGGTTAGGGTCCACCTAAGCACACAACTCTGATTTTATTTCCCCTCCATCCAAGGCAGTGTGTGATGACCGTGTGGGAATGAGCTCTCTTGTACATACTTAGCACAGCACCCGGGGTATGAACCCGCACTCCTGTCCTGTGACGGGGTGCATTAGCGCTTACTGTAAAACATCGGGAGAAGTATAGTATTGTATTTGTAACAATATCGTTCTTTGTATACACGAAACTCAATGATCTCTATATATAAATATAAATATATATAAATAAAATATATCTACACGTGAGCCTGGAATGTGACACTGCACACCCACTGAATGTATTTCCTCTGACAGTCTGGTTACCGGTCCTGGCCCACCTTCCCCTTCTTTGTGCCGTGACTGCAGTTGTCTAGTTTGGGGTTGTGATGTATTTAATGTGCTATCTCCTTATTTAACTGAACGCTAACGTCTGTATAAGAATTGCTGCAACAATAAACAAGGACTTCGCCTCTTGGCTCTGGCTGAGTGTCTTGCTGTTTCGGGGAGGAACAGGGCTCCGTATGCCAGGAGGGAGGATTTTTGTCTTTTCCTTAATAGGCCACCTCCAGCCCTAAGGATTATGGTGACCACTTGCTACCCAGGTATTTTATTATGTGAAACTGGCCTGTCACAACAGTGTTTTAAGCCTCATTGGAGTACACTGAAAGGGAGAAGGGGTCCTTTGTGTTTCATACTTTGTATCATCACGGAAGGAAGAGAAGCAGAAATTAATTCTTCCTCTCATAAGGAAAAAAAGAACAGAAGTGGTCTTTGCTGAGGGCTGGAGCCAAAGTGGAAAACAGTGTCTCAGGAAACCAACCTGAAGATTCTGTGAGAATGTTTCAGAAGCCTCTTACATAGTACTCTTTGCAATTCCACTTTTCAGATTTTGGTAATGTGATTTTCCTGCGGCCAGGGCTTTGAGTGTGGCAGCAGGCTCCCATTACAGAAGACCTGGTGTTCCGCTAGTGTCCTAGTCTTCATTAGGACACCATCTTCCTTGTCTTTCCTGAAAAACTAGTCACAGGTCCCTCAGGGACTGCATCTGAGCTGTCGACAGCCCTGAAAGGTAGAAGCTGAGAATCCTAAAATGCTATGCTCAGGCACCACTGGGTGCGCGTTATTATGCTTTATATCTCTGAAACAAAACACAGGAGGTGGAAAGGCTTCAAGAACTGGGAGTGTACTAAATCCTCCGCAGTTGTGTCCCCACAGAAACATCTTAAACTGCTCGATTCACCAGTAAAACCACTTGTACAAGAGCTAACAAACCCAGATGAGAGATGTCCAAGCTTTGACGGATCCAGAGGGAAAAGCTGTGGAAGATGGACATAGAGGTGGTCAAGGAACTCAAAAGTAGTTCTCATTGGGTTTGAACTCCAGACCAGCAGACTTAAGATCTGATCTTTACCAACTGAGCCATCTGAGGCTTCTGGTCTTCCTGTCACTGACAGAAAGCCTCTGGCTTGTTTACTCAGAGACTTTTATCTGGTCTTTACTGATTCAGTGCAATGATTCCTGTCCTGTCTGAGGCTGGCACAATCACAGCCAACTGCTTGGGGCTGTGAAGCCAGGCTCAGACCACTGGGAGAGAAAAGGAGTTAAAAGAAAGAGGTCTCACACACACATTCACTCAAAAGATGGACAAAACAAGAAATTTCAACCAACAAAATTCCACAAGCTTACATATGATGATAATGTTGATTTCAGCTAGCATCTCCTCTGCAGAAACTGCAGAAAGTTCAGGCTGCCCTCAGAAAAACCTCTTTCCTGACCAGCTGCCATGGCCCTTTCCGTGGTATCAGCCTGTATGCACATATAGACAAATGATCAGACATATAGACCTGTGCACATTCATACGCACTTTCAATGGATGATACAAAAGAACCTCCTTACCAACAGTTAGCAGTTAGCATGCACTTGTGTAACATGTACAAAAAAACAGACATACAGACACATTTACATGCAAACACATCTACATATTTACAACTCATGAATGAAGCGAATTCCAATGGATTCAACCAACAATAAACAATAAACAATAGTAATAGTTCTATAATTCTGAGACAAAGCTCTCTACATCAGAAAAAGAATTACCTCATAGTCAGAAAGGCAATCACAAAAACAGATGAATCCAAAAATATAAGAGAATAATAGGTTACATGGGTATTTTTTTATTAAAACTAAACATTTCTTATCTATGTATCCATTACATAAGTTCTTAATGAGTTCAGAATGACAAAGGTTGACAAGGCCTAAAGGTTAACAGGATCCAAGAAGTTACAACAAGATATATGTCTTTTCAATTAGGACTGACCTGGCTACACATTTTCCACCTATCTCTTTGTTTATAGTGGGTTCAATCTGTCTTTCATTCCAAGATATAAAATAAATTTAAAATGACAATATTTTATGCTATAAGCTGACAAGATATAAGAAATTACAGCGAAACAGTTTGTATTTTTTTACATTAAGGTTTGTACTTAATTTAGGTATTTCTTGGTAGCTCCATTATATTCTGGGTTCATGGGAAGTTCAAACCAACTTGCCTATATTTATGGTGCATACCAGGATTTGTGGTACAATCTCTAGAATGAAAGTTTATCTAAAGCCACAAATCTGTCTCAAGCCTGTCTCCTAGTGAGGTATCTGGAGGTCCACAAAAGTATTTACTGCAGCTGTCAACTTTCTTTTACCTTTGTAACTTCCAAAATTGTTTCAATCAAATCAGGAATTCTACAATCAGGAATTAATTCATCAGAACAACAGTGTGTCTTCATAAAGCTCCCATGGGAGGATTGTTCAATCAAATTAGGTAAATACCCAGAAAGTTTTGGTTCACACCATGGCAGATTTTTAAGATATTTACAGCAGCACAGAAAAAATGGGGGTGTCAGAGGCTGGAAGTAACTCTGCAGTTGCATCACAGTACAGACTTTGCAAAATACCAGACTACCTTCCAGAAAGCCCACATGCCTACTGAACCTTCTCAATTCAATGACTCCTGGCAATCACAGGACCTAGTTTAGTATGATGAAAAGATGTGTTGACAAGAAAGAATTGCATATATCATCCCTTCTCCAACTATAAATGGCACAACATGAAGAGAGATGCTTCCCACCTGTGGAAGGGAAAGAACATTGAGTGCTGCCTTTAAACATGGAACCAGGTACCAGACTTGGTACAGTCCATGCTCTCTGGCCCAATCCCTGAACATTGATTTGGTTGCCAATGGACCACTTCCACCATCTTCCTGAGACCTCAGGAAGCAGAGTATGTGGAAAGACTCCAGCTGCTGAGGACAGAGAAGTAAGCACAGTACTTTGACTTGGAATTAATAGCTGAGCATATCCCACTAGGCAGATCCCAATGACCCTCTACAGTGATGCTGGATGAAAACTCTGGTTCACCCTGGCTCCAGGAAGAGAGCTGAAGCTCCACCGGAACAGATTTGTAGCCTAGCCTACATCAACTCCAGCTGCATCCATCTCCTGTCACTAGTACACCACACTATAACATTGTGGGTTTGGTCCTGCCCTCCAGTTACTGAACCAACAGATGGATTACAACCTAAGAGCCAACTATATGCTGCTTGTAAGAAATTCACTTCTAAAGATATGTAATAAACTGAAAGTGACAGGGAAGTGTGATAGTTGATTTTCATTGTGCATGTAGCTAGACTTAGAATTACATAGGTGCTTGGAAAGACATACATCTGGGTTTATCTATAATGGTGTCTCCAAATTAACCGAGGTCGGGGGAGACAAAGCCTGACCATAAATGCTGTTTTCCCATGGGTTAGAGGCCTGGATGCAATGAAAAAGGAAAAAATAGCAGCTGAGCACTGGAGTTCCACATTTCCCTGCCTCCTGGCCCATGACGACATGAATTGCTCTGTTGCACACATCACTGACTGACCCCTCTGAAACTGTAGGTTAAAATAAATATTTCCTCCCTTACATTGTTTCTGCCAGGTATTTTGTCACAAACACCTAACTACTGCAGATAGAGATACTCTGTGTAAATGAAATCCAAAGGAAAGCATGAGCTGCTGTACTGGTATCAGTTAAAATGCACCTTAAATCAGAATCAGTGACAATAGACTGAATCAATATGTTATAATTTGAAAGGCCTTTTCTAATCACCCATTCTAACTGACACAGAGACCTATTAGATCTATTAACAAGCTTTAGGATCTATAACTGAGCAGATATGATCTAGTCTAAATCTCTATACTAGTCTGGCTACTTCTCAGCCACACACCCTGAAATATTTGCCATATTGGTCCTGCCTAGGTTGCTATTGCTTCATCAGATCAGTCTTCATGGCCATCTCCTTTCTCTACCTCCTCCTCTTCCTCCTCCATTCTCCCCTTCTCTGATGGTTCCTACTTGAAACTGCAGGCTGGGAATGAAAGTCCTGCCTCCTGTCCTTTCTTGCCCAGCTATAGGCTCTCAACAACTTCACAAAGCAATCAATGGACATGACAATGCCCATATTCAGACTGCAACCAGATCTTGGAGCACAGAATTCAGCATCTGAATACACAATACAACACACCAACCCCCAACAATGGGCAGGGAAGGTTATTATATGTGAAAAAAAAAAAGGTCAATTCAACAAGAAAAAAAAATGATGATTTAAGTATACAATAACCATCATTGAAGAATATAAAACAAATATTAATAGAAAGACCACAGTGCAATGATAATTGAGTTACTAAAGTAACATCCTACTTTTAGCAATGGACATGGCATCCAACCAGAAAAAAATTGGCAGAGGTAGCCTGCACTCCACTCCAAGCAAACCAAGCAGGTCAAATATTCTTACCAACTGCTGCAGAATATACACTCTCAATGTACATGGAACATTCTTCATAATAAATCATATTGTGATAGGTCACAATAATCTCAACAGAGTCTCATATCAACTATCTCTTCCAATCACATTGTAATAAACTATAAAGAAATTTTAACATAACCTTTGGAAACTACAAGTACATAGAAATTAAACAACAAACCCCTGGATAACTAATAAATAACGGAGAAGTAAAGAACTTTTCTAATGTTTTTAAATTACAGACAAAATATAACAAATCCAATCTATGGGACAAAGAAAACAAAAGACTCAAGGAAGGGAAGAAGGGTGGGAAAATGGGAGAAGAGATGAAGGGAAAGAAGAAAGGAGGGAGGAAGGGAAAAAAGAAAAATAAAAGAGAAGGGGAAAGAAGTTTCTTAAATAAGAAACCTATTATTGTAACTGAAAGAAAAAAAATGTAAGACAGATCTGAACACAGAGTTAAAAGAAGAAAAAAATAAAGACCAGAGGAGAAATTTAAATATATATATATATATATATATATATATATATATGAACCATTAACAAAAAAGAAAAATTGGTCTTTACAAAAACAAAATTAACAAGTGAAGGAAAATAAAAATGGATCAAACAAAAAAGCAGATAGGAAAGAAATAT